TAAAAACAGGAGTCAGGCCTTTGTGGGACAGTCTGAACGGTGCTGTGGGAAGAAACAGAACGAGTTGATGCACACCAATGAATCTGCTTTCACAGATTGCAGGCCGAATTCCCAACCACCTCCTGAAAGAACGCTCACAACAGACACAATTGCAACAACACAGATGGTTTTGTTCTGACTAGGCAGCACCGAGCAGTTAATCTAAATGAGAACGCAAAACAAAAACACAGACGGCCTTGAGGAATCCACTCCCGTCTGTCATGTGGCATTTCACAGTGCCTAAATGCCAAATGCACGCTCCACCAGTCTGAGGTGACTCAGAGGTGAGCTAGCCTCAGAGAGATGTGAATTACAAGGCGTGGCAGCGTACAGTACAGAGGACAAATGTGGTGTGCAGTTCTCCTCCAGACACATCGGCTTTGGTCAGACAGGCGTGTAATAGTCACACTAACCCTACAAGTCTGCTTAAATGAGACGCTGAAGCCAATTCAACACTTTTTAAATTGGCACAAGACAAGGAGGAGGATAAATGCCACTAAGCCATTAGGTCTGATTGTTTATTCACACTTTGAATCATGGGAGAGGACATGGGAAATCAATGTTGTTCTCATAATAAGCTTTTAGTCTTTTGTGTTGACAAAATTACTTTTTATCACAATATATGTGCTTTTGTGATCTCCAATAACTACTTTGTGATCACAGCAAAACAACATAATCCAGATTATATAACAATAATACAACACATGGTAAATAATAACATGCATGTCCTCGCTGGCCTTTTTGTAGTAATGGATTAGGTCAAATAATTGCTCCTTAAAGGTCCTACACTGCAACATGTCCTTTACATGGGTTTTTATGTTGCATGTTCTGCAGTGTGCAGAAACCCATCCATAGCCCACTCATTGAATGTATACAAAGATGGATGACACGTCACCACATCCTCCCACTGAAGAAAGAATTAAGTCAAAATATCCCCCATATAGGTGCCCCCATCTTACAGTGGTGATGTCATTTGAAGCCACTGTCTCTGCTGCAGTCATGATAGTTCACCGTGTTTTTAAAGCAACAAACTCATTAAAACCAGTCCTGTCGGAAACATAAACACTTTACATCAGTGTGACAAGAATTTAGCGATAATGACAAAAACCAAGTAATCTACTCTATAGACATTTTGACTGTAAAATCAAAACGATAAACTGAAAGGCTAAAATGCTCTGAGGAAACGCACATTTAAATGACAAATGTCTGTGGGTTTGTTCCTATCAGCGACTTTTTTTTTCATATGGTAAGAAAGTTTTATTATTGCTGTTTCAGGCTAAATCTTGATGTGTGCTTCCAGTACACCTAATGCAACACAACAAACTGCAAACCAGACAATACAGTAGAGTTGCTTTAACACCTCTCTTACAGTGTCAGCACAAACTGTAAACTGCAGTTTAAACTGAAGCCACTAATGAGGATACTTTAACATTTAAATCAATGATTTGTGATGGAGGAGATAATGCCTGCATGTGAACCGAGGGAAGAGCCACAGTCATTTTGCTGCAGCACATCTCTGTACAACCAGGATTTCTACTTCTCTTAGCTCCACCCACTTCTGACATTTCTCCTCATTTCGTAACTCGTGAACAGCACCAAGGTTTAAATCTGCCCTCATTAAAAGGGGGAAACTGTGTAAAGGTCTGCTTCCTACAGTTTTTGTTAAACGGTCCTTTTTGCCTCACCTTCTTTTGTGACTTCTCTGAGTGGGTGGATATGAATGTGATGGAGCAGGAAGCTGTGGCTGCCAGGGGCAAGAACAGACAGGAGATACAGAATCTATAAGTCCAGGAATAAATGGGAACAGAATCCAAACCTGCAGTGGATTATTGTGTAGTAAAGCGACGAACGCTTAACCATCCTATGTAATATGTTCCACTCAATCTCAACAAGTTTAACGCCCTCACTAAGTACTCTTGACAAGTATTCATTCTGCTACTTCAAAACTGAGAGAGGATTTCTCCAAAATGTCACTGCAGCATCTTACAGTGAGACATACTGGCAAGCAGAGGACCTCAGAGAGCTGTCCTGATTGGCAGTCAGGACTTATCAATCAGCCCTGAGCATTACAAATAACTTTTGATATTAATAGAAAGTCTATTTGCAGAGCAGACTCTTGTTTATTTTTTAATGAGCAGACAAATAGCGAGGCTCCGTCTGAAAATGTAGGGCAGGACAACACAACGCAAGCAAGTGTTGGATACTGACAAACTCTTCAAACCTGCATTTCAACAAGATCAGAAGAAATGAAAAACATGAAGTGCTGCTTTAGTGGCTCAGTGAGAGTGAATTCCGACACAGTGGTGCTTTGAATTAGATGCTACGGTCAACGTGTTAACAGGCTCTCTGAGACCTGTTGTTGTTTATGGATCTATTATATGGACTGAGTGTTCTTTGAGCACCGAAGACAAAAATATTTTTGTAGTTGATTTCTAGTGTTCTGCTGCACACTACACACGTGACGTCTCTTTGCATCGGGATAATGTCCCACAAAGAAACATTGATTTTACACAAATAGCTTTTTAATGAAATAATTGACTTTGTTTGCAGCTTTAAAGTGCTATTTCAGCAGTTACACAATCATGATTTATTATGATGCCCTAATGGAGAAGGTATATAAAGATAGACAACATCATCACTCCCCAAAAGTGAAGAGTTTTGATTGGCCTCTGGTGGCTGACTGGGTCATAAACCCTGTCTCCTCCATGTTAGCGGATGAACAAGTGAAAAGGGAACAATCACATCAAATACATTTTTCACAAAAATTGTCTCTGTCATTTTAGGCAGTTCTGGTGTATGTTCAAGTGTTCATTTTTCCAGTTAGTTGGATTTTCAAAACAACAAATGTCGACCAGCTGGTGTCTAATCTGACCCAGAGCAGTGAGAGTGGACAGCACAAACCTCTGCAGCAGTAGAGATGACTGCAGGACATCTCTGTTCAGGAAATATTATAGTCATTAGCTGCTAATTGTGTGACATAATGATGGATTCAGTCTTTCAAATACAATTTGAATGCAAAAATATTATATAAATGCTCCTGTTAATAGTTTGTGTGTAGGAAATGTGCAAAAATGCAAACTGAATTGGAAAGCATCTGCTGTCAGGTAATAAAAAGCTAACGATGGTTGTAAAACATTATTCTGCTGGCAGAGTGGATTTAACACCTGTAATACTACCCTAGTGGACTATTTAAGGTGAAAGAGCTCATAATGGATGGTTGTATGAAGAAAATCACGTCACAGCTTGTTACACATCGGAAACCTAACTGTCGGTTTTTGCCATTAACTTAAACTATGTCTAATACGATAATTCAGTATTTTAAAAGATCAGAAAATAAGGAAATACAAAATAGGTCTCCTTTAGTAAAAGGCTGCTATGCACTTTTGTTTGCGGCACTATTGGCCAGTGAATTTGGCAGAGCCAATGGGTAAACAAGTGGGTAAACAAGTGCCTTAAGTGGCCATAGCTTCTTTTTCTGTTTTCAAAGTAATATCGTGGAGACACATCAGGAAGAGCAAAGTGTTGCTGCTGATTTGAAGCCTCTGCCACAGCAGAGTCAGAGGCGGGAAGTGTCTGGAGTGCGCAGGGGGATGCCGCTCTGATAAAGAGCTGTGTGGGGAGGCCCATAGATCCCTTTTATATCAGCCGCACACAAGCATGCAGAAAAAGTAGCACAGAAGCCAGAGGGGTGGGGGGGTGGAGATCAAAGCAAGATGGAAATCCAGACAGATACAAAACACGTCTGCAAAAGAAAAAGACAAACACTGTAGAGAGATCAACATCACCCTCTTTTTACCCCCAAGCAACCAAGTCACTGTACATGATCTGCTTTTCAGGGGAAACACTGCGCTGCTGCATGACAAGTGGAGCACAGAGGATTTAAAACCTGCCACAGACATGCACACAAACACAGTCTCTTCTGTGACTGGGTGAGCTCAGTCCATTGGCTCCCTGAGAGCTCTGCATTTATGCATCTGTATGTGGGGGTAGACAGTGGAAGAGCTACTAAAGCTCTCCTGACAGGTCTAAAGTGAATAAAGTTCTGACAGGTTCTCTGCTCATGTGGAGCCAATTCTCACTGTGTAGCAGCCACCAGCTTTCCTTATCACTCCCTTCGTCACAGTTTACAACACTCCAGGTAATAATTTGAGCTGCTGTCACCTCGAAAGCTGCTGCCGAGGATATGGTAGATGGTGTTGAGTGGTGGGGGATGAGTTCACCAGAACATCAGGCATGCAGTGCACCACACTGACTGTCCCTGCGAGGGACAGTTGCTCTTTTCTGACCTATTGCACAGTAAATGTTAAACGAGAGGGGAGCAGACGGGGGCCTCTCATTGACATTCCTGTTGGTTTGAATGGAAATGTGGCAAAAAAGGGGAGAAGACTGCACCCATGGGTGCTGTCCTATAGCCAAGGATGAGTGTGGCGTTCCAAATGGCAGACGGGTCAGATGTCGCCACTGTTGCCAAAGTGCCTCACTGCCAAAATGTAACACATGACTGGAAAAGAATTGCTAATCTGTTATTCTGTATGTAAGCCAGAGGGAGGAAATGAGCCTAAAGGGATGGCAGCACTAGAGCTTTTGACACCCAGCCTGTCAGTGATGACATGATTTTAATTTAACAAACAGAGGGCAGATTAATAATGACCATTCTCCAATTCATTTGCCTTGAATCCTCAGGTCATCAGGTAACAAAATGAATATTATGCAGATTCCCATTCATACTAAAAATGTGCTGTGAGCTAAATAGAAGGCATTTTTTGGAGTTTACTACTTTACATACTTTCTTTTATTATACTCCCTTACATTTTCTGATTTGAAGTTGATTGATTTTTGCCTTCTGAATAAAACTACCTTGCCTTTGCAACAAGTATGTGGAGGACACCATGCTTGCAACCAAATGGACGCAATGGCCATGGGGAAACCTGTACATGCTGGATACCGTATAGATCACCCACCTATAGTCGACACCACAGTTCCAACAAAATAAAAAGCCCCTGTAAAATCCCATCGTGGCCTCAGAGCGTCAGCCCGGATGCCGGCGGCGATGGCGGCTTCATACTCCCTCAGGAAGGAGTTGAGGTCCCGCAGGCTGATGTTGAAGGTCTCGCTGAAGTTGAGGAGCGTCCCGTTCCAGCGCCCGTGGGCCCGCAGCTCCGAGGGCCGTTCGATGGCCGAGAAGACCGAGGCGCCGCACAGCAGGTACAGGACGATGAGGAGGGCGAGCAGCACGAAGCGGCCGTTGTCCTCGTTGAGGTGCAGGGAGCGGCAGCCTTGCAGTCGCTGGCCGGGCATCATCCAAATTTCAGCACCACTTGCGCGTCGGACAGCGACCAGCTCCGCACCGGAGGCGGCATCCACTCGTCTGCGGGTCTCCTGGAGGTCTCTGTCCTGCTTCTCCTCCTCACTGCACTTCTCCTAACAAAGCTCCTCCACTCAGCCCTGCACCTTGTCTCATTGTACTTGTGAAGTGATCATTGTTCTCAGTGGCTGCAGGAGAATGAACTAAAAGAAGCTCTACTTCATCCACAAAGGAGTTCAGGAGAAAAGCAGCGGGCGCGTAGTTTTCATGACAGATTTCCTCCTCCACTTGTGGCACTGCAGCTGCTGTAAAGTGGACTGCAGCTCCAATCCCAGCAGACGCGCGTCTTTGTGCCAACGCGACCAGCAGCAGCAGCAGTAGTATCCTCTTCTGGGTCCGCTGCACCAAAATGCTTCTCCCGGTAAATGACGCTCGAAAATTATGCAACTTGCAGATTTACGCGTCTCAGGAAAAGCCCCAATTGTGCTCACATAAAGTCGCGGAGCATCTTGAGCTTTGCATGCTTGGAGCTGCAGCCTTCATGTGCACACTGCATCCTCTGAGACAACTCCCCGCTGCAAATCAGGACGGAGGGGGGAGCATGTCCGTGCGTCCTGCAGCTGAGATAACCCTCAGGAAACAGAGGATGTACACTTGAGAGCAGCCGTGTTACCTTGTGTCATGCGCACTGAGGACACTCTACTCAACGTTACTCACTTTCTGCACCGTGGATAGCACAGATGAAAACAAAGACAGACTTCTGAGACTAAAAAGTTCTTCGAAGCTTGATAAAATAAATAAAAAGATTATCAATGTTAGTGGAAGAAAGAGTCAGATTAGTTAATGTAGTAAGAATATGACGGCGTAAGCAAAAACTGTCAATTAATCATCACTAAAGTAATCATTATGCAGCACAATAGCTCCTGTTGCAATTACATTTGGATGCATTGGATTTTTATTACCCAGACATATTCTGTAAGAGGTTATATTTGGAGCTGCACACAATTGTTCACAGTCATAAATATCAGTCTCATAAACATGTGTGGTTGTTTCATCAGGATCCAAGAATTATTCTCTGAGAAATCAAGAAAAATGGGGGAAAACGCCCAACGTTAGGTCCTGAACTGTATATATATGTAATAACTTCTTCCTCGGGTCATGCCCCACGCCTCCACAAAATTTCATAGAAATCAGTTGATTAGTTTTTGTGTAATCCTGCAAACTAACTAACAAAGAAATTCAGATGAAACAAAACCATTTCTTGGTGGTAATGATTTTCATTTCATTAAATCATATTAAATTATTTTCTACATTGCGGTGACCTTGCAGAAAACTAGTCTGTTTACAATTTCTGGGAAAATCTATGACGACCTGGAGCTGGTAAACCATGAAAACATCAACTGGGGCTTTGAAAAGCATCAGTTATCCCCCAGTGAAACCCTGATGTGACTACAATTTCAGCTGTAATGTCATAAAGAAGAGTTTGTCTTTTGAAGAGAGGACAGTCTTCACATTGCTGTGACAGGCAGTGGCTGTTTTTCTAATGAGAAGATGCTGGGGCTGCATGAGGTGGCCGTATTGATTATGCTTTCTAATCTAGCTAATTGGCTTACAAATATCAAGGCAGACTGCAGAGCAAGGGCAGACTCAGCACTGCTCCACACTGGCTGTCCTTGTCAATTCTAATGATTACCTCAAAAATATAAGAAAAAAAGCACAGGGCAGGGATTTAATAGAAGGAGACGTGAATGGAAATGTGTCTGTGGTATTGACAGGGTGTCTATCCATTTATTTAATTAAAGCATGAGCTCTCATGGGATCAAAATATGCTCATTAGTCGTTTCTGAGGGTGCACGACTTACAGGAAATAGTCAAACCACAGCATCACTGAAAGAACTGATCAGTGGAAATCTAGTAAAATACAATATGTCCCCCCCTCCCCTTCTTTCTCTCTCTTCAGTAATTTATGTTCTCCACCCACTAATTTCTTTTCAGGGTCATGTGGGGCCCGCAGACTGTCCCAGCATGCACTGGGCGGAAGAGCAGGCAAAGTCAAGGCACAGCACAGATGCCCAATCATACCTTAAGGCGATGTAGATTCTCTGGTCCATCTGATCGTGGGAGGAAAGCAGCACATCTGAAGCAGAGACGAATCCTGGCTCCATTTCTTCTCAGACGACTGAGATGCAGCATTTTAGACATCAAGTTGCTTTTCACATGGCTTTTTAACCTCACATGTTTAACATTTAACTAACTCAACCAAGATGCACCAAAGAACGCCACAGGAACCAATCACTGCCTGCTGTCATCAACAGTCATTGAGACATTTACTCTGTCAGCACATTGAACCTTAATCAATCTTCTGTTGTATATACAGAATTATAGTATGTACTGCATTTTTACATATTCTTATTCAGCTTTGTTTTTCTCTTCATTGTCTTGGTCTGTATAGATTTCTATTCTTGGCTGGAGTGATTGTAATAAAAACCATTATCCCCTTTGGGATCAATAAAGTAATTGTGATTCTGATAATGTAGCTCTGAGAAAATATAAGCACATCTTTCAATGTATTTTAAAGATTTTGCAAACGATACACACCTGTTAATAACCTTTGATAGCACTTTATCACAGGTGCAATTATATGCAGTGATGTGTTATGACATATATGCGCAACTTACAGGTTATTATAAAGGAAAATATTAAAACATCTTAAAACATCAATATCAAAGAAATATTAATTTTCAATATCCATATATCCTCTATATATTCTGCTTATAAATGCTAAGCAGTGTCTCTTCAGCAATAATTATTGATCAGAATCCAATGATGATCATGTCAAACATCTTTTAGGTATTAAGTATTGCTTTGGTTAGTTTTAATAATAAACAGTGTAAATATAATGTTTCACTTTTGTCCTGATTCCACCCTTGTGATGTTTTGAGGAGACTTTTTTGACTGTTAGTGTGTTTGGTTGTGGTCTCTTGATTTATCTTTGTAAATCTTTTGTTGACCTTGTTGTTTTCCTCATGTTTGGCTTTTGATTTATATCTTATTTGCTCTTTTCTTTATGCCTGATTTACTTTGAAGCTTCTTTTCCTCTCTTTCATATCACTTGTCCTCTACATCTACCATCCCACCATATCTGATTCCTTGCCTCGCCTTTATTATGTTCACCTAAATCATCTATAATGTTTCCTCTTCCTCGTCACCAGTTTGAGAATTCAGTGTTTTTCCTCACAATAGTTCCTCATGTATTTGCACAGTTATGTTTTTGCTCCCAGCCAGAGTAATTTATGGATACTTCTACCTGATTTCACTGCCAAGCTGTACACCCTAAGTCAAACCATCTTGTTTGATCAGTGCTTGTGTGTACATTTGCATTTAAGTCCTCATCTGTTCAGCCATCTACTTCCTCTCCTGTGGAATCATTCCCCAGTTTCAGTTTGGGAGGCAGACACCAGCTCTATGTTTAAGAGTCAGTGTAAAACCTTCTTGTTGATAGAGCTTATAGTTAGAGCTGGCTCAGGTCGGCCTTGGACCAGCTCTCGTGAGTCATGACACATGGAGATTCTCTTTCGCCCCCATCCCTCTTCAACACATTAATGTCTCATCAATACAAGTTACTGACTTCACTTCTTCCCTAGAGTCCTTGTGCTTTATCGTTTGCAGATCCAGGATCGCTGCAGTGGCCACATCTTGATCATTGATGATTGATTGTGGTTGCATCTGATCGTGGATTTGTGATAATTAAATTGCTTAGATATAAAACGTGCCTGCCCATATATGCACAATGCCTGCCCGCATATATTACAATTAATGCCGCTGTCATTAAAGCTGTCATTGCTGTTCCCTTCATCTGTCAGACTTTTTCTTTCCTAGAAATATTTAAAACACTGATGCACCTCTACTGTTATGTTAGACGCAGTCTTTTCTCACAAGTGTTGGAAATATTGTTACTTTGTTAATGTGCTGTGTTGCACTTCTGTCTGTGCTGGGAGAGGGATCCCTCACATGCAGCTTATTTCCCTTTTAAAAGGGTTTTGGTTTTATTAGTAGATTTTCTTCACTCTAGTTGAGGGCCAGAAGATGTTGCACTTTGTGGAGCACAATGAGGCAAATTGTGAATAAAGGCTTTATCAGTAAAATGGGATTCAGTCACCTGTTTCTGGTCATAACAACTTTTATAAGACCTAACCCAAAGATTGTGTCCTGTACTCTATTGTATGCTGTGATGATTTCGAGGCAGTTTATTAAAATGGTCTATTTGAGACTTTTATTATGTACAGACATCAAGGCCAACACTGACAACAACATGGCAGTGGTTCAAATGAAAGCATTGAGTAAGAGTAGCATAAGAAGAACAAAGTCAGAAACAGAGTTATAGAGTAAAGAATATAAGCTGCACGGTGCTCATTCCAGAGCTGTAGCTGGAAAACTGCTGAGTGTATCACATTACGCAATGGTGTGTTTTATTGCCCATGAGATCAAATTTTTATTTGTAAGATGAAAAATGGGTAATGTCTACTTTCAAATGACACACAATCTGTCTTTGAATCTGTTTGAACATGAAAATAATAAATAAATAAATTCCTCCATGTGCCTATGCAGCAGATACTTAACAGTGTAGCGCTGGTTAAGTGTTAAAAAAGTAAAAGCACTCCACACACACCTCAACTGGCCTACTGTGGCAGCTGTAGAGGGCATGTGGCAAAGACAGAGGAGAGACAATCCTTCAGAGTGCAGCAACAAGCACTCCTGCAGTGAATAAAGATGAGCAGACAAGGGAGGACACACATCCACTTACATTGAGAAATGAAACGGGGAAGGAAGCAAGTGAGGGATTTCCTCTCATCCCGCTGTGCAAGAGCTGCTCCCAATGATTGAGAATATAATGGTGAAATCAATCATTTTGTGCAGACCCCAACAATATTTCGTCTATCACAGATGCATCAGTATCAGAGTTGATGTTATGAAAAAAAGAAGCTCAGAGAAATTT